TCTTGTTATACCATAGTCTATTTCTTCCGTGTTACCAATAAATTTATGTGTGAAATTCTTGTCTCCTCTGCAATGAAACATGCCGTGATTCATACCATATATTCCTAGAAGTATATAAAGCCCACATTGAACTGTTCAACAGGTATCAACTCACCCATACGTGACTGAAAATGAGGCGTGCAGACCCGTGGTCTTGGAGACGCTCGCGTTCTTACACGACGTGCAAATGATAACGAAGGAGGACAAGGATTTTCTGATACCAAAGATTGCCCGCCCTCGAATCCCACAGGACATTCTGTTTGCTATTGGTGGGTATCGTGGCGAAAGTCCAACAGCTTTGATTGAAACTTACGACACACGAGCAGACCGATGGAGTGTGGTGAGTTGTAAACATTTCTACTCTTACCATGCCTTGTTAAATGACGCCTCGAAGAAAAAACTTAGTTTGCTTTTGTTGCTTATTTATACCAAGTAATTGTTTAATTAAGCTTACTCACAAGCACCTCTTTGCCTCCTTATTTCGTTTTCATTTATTTTCATCGCAGTGAACCCTTTTTTAAGGAAGCTTCAAAGATATGAATTAAAAGGAATAAATAAATTACATAAATGTTGAGTTTTATGTAAAATGTAAGTTCTAATAGGAATCCACGAAAGATATGAAATTTGCCATTGGTGCCATTTTAAATTAGCGTCCTTCATCAACTGTTATAACACCTTTTCTGCTGATTTTAGACATGAAACGAAATCATCGTTTATCACCAGTGTGGATTTCAACGTAATAAATTAAGAAGTGGTCAGTGTCGATGCTGGACTTCTGGGCGATAACGCCGCGTGAATTAGAAGGCTGACACACGTTCTTTTGGGAGGGGTTTACTGCCACGAGCTATGCGTCGATAAAACTCAAAACACCAACATCTGTCTTCACCATCATACAAATCTGAAATGTCGGCTATTGATGTGAAATTCTAGATTTGTCTGTTAGCAGAGAGAGAGAGAGAGAGAGAGAGAGAGAGAGAAAGAAGTGTTCTTCAGTTACTTGTAGACTTGAAGAGAACACTGATAATGTTGAAGTATCTTTTCGTGTCTTCCTGTTTCCCGTCTCTCCCATAATTCCACTATTGCTTCAAGTTCATTTCTCACGGTCTTTGTCGAGTGCGGTAGGCCCGGCCACCCAGCACGGTGTACCAATTTCGGTTCACTGTTGGGGGTTGTACCTCTGCTCCGTTAGTCGCTTGTACTCTGATGTAAGGACTTCACATTAGCAGACCTTGTGACCCAAAGAAACATAAAGCCGTTACCTATGTTTCTTGCAGATGGAGGAGGTTTACCAGAAAGATGAGCGATTTTCCCATGGCACGGCCTTAGTGGGTTTCAACATTTATGTCATCGGTGGTTCGAACGGCAACAGAGCCTTAAGCTCATGTCGCTACTTCAACGTTGTTACGAAGACATGGCATCAGGTGGCGCCTATGCACGAATGCAGGTAAGATGCAGCTCGCTAACGAACAAACTCCTACGAGCAGAGTCCTTCTTCTAAACTGATAGTCGCTCTGTTAGTCATGATATATATGTGGACAGGGGCTCTAACTTGTACCACTCACATACAGAGGCATCGTGAAAAGTGTGAGTAGGCAGGCGGACATTCATGCCAATGTTGGTCGTCGGTCAAAGCCGAATAGAAGCCAATCACAGACTTAGTTCGTAGTTTCTTCAGGTTTGGAGAATATGATTTGCTTGTAAATTCATTTGAATTATTATTTAACAATGTCGAACGAACAACTGTACCCTGCGAGAGGAAATGTATCTGTATCAGCAATAAATGAGCATCATCGCCAGAGGAGCACGAAGCATAGCGAAGTCGGTATTTTTCGTTTCAGATCTGAGGTAACTGTGGCAGTTCTGGGAGAGATTTTGTACGCCATGGGCGGTTGTGGTCTTCTTCTTCTTGAGGAACAGAGAACAGCGGAAAAATATGACTTTAAGACAAACCAGTGGTCTTTGATCGCTCCTATGAATATGGACCGATGCGATGCAGGTGCGGCTGTGCTAAATGGTATCGTAAAACCTGCGAAACATTACTATGTGAATTAGTGCATAATGTCGAGGTGTCTGTCTGTCCGCGTATAACAACGCTTGGTAGCTTGTACCGTAAATCTCTGGTTTTATTTTTATTTAGTGTTCTGTCTGAGGACAGGTCCATATGAACAGGATCCTTCCATCCTTTTCTCGGACTGGGACCTGTTCATATACGTTCTTGGCAGATGATCCAGAAGTGGTTTGCCATTGCCTTCTTCTGTGTGTGAATGGAGTAATTGTTGGGATGCCACGGAGGAAAACTCCGTGTTGCCTAGACCACGGCCTTGCCCAACACAAGTTATAAATTCGGGCACCGCCGGGAATCGAACCCGAGACCCCAGGATTACAAGGCCAGCGTTCTAACCGCTAGACCACCGTGGCGGGAAATCTCTGGTACCAAATTTAATCAAATTCCCATCATTATACATTAATTTAAGCATTTTTTACTGTTTATATTAAATTTTAACAATTTGTTTGCATCCACTAAACTCGTTTCCTTTGACACGCTAATTGTTCCATTAATCGAAATGCATAAAGTTGAAAACAAAGAAACAAATGAACAGAGACAGCCGTGTCCGTACAGTTCCTATCACACAAAGGGGGACATTAAATGCAATATAATTAATCGATTTACAAATTTAAGTATAGATTTTTGTATGTTTGTGCTTTTCATGGACCAGTATAATGCCTCAGCCTACATCAAATATGTAGACAGTCTGTGCCATATAGCTAATTTGTTTTTACAGACAAAATATACGTCGCTGGTGGATGTGGGAATTACCTTATTTTGAGCACGGTGGAAGTGTATGACCCGGTCACCGACCAATGGACATTCGTTGCGCCATTGCATTCTGAACGGTCCAGTCTTCGTTGCATCGTCTTCCACGGCATTCTGTACGCCCTAGGTAAGAATTCTGGATATCCTGAGTGACGTTCCTCTATGCTTCTTACAGAGCGTGTTATTGTGCAATGTTTTCCTAATTGTCTTTGAGTGCTTCAGACTTTATGGACAGCAAGGTTAGTTTGTCAGTATTTTTTTAAACCTGATTCATGGTTTCGAATATATTATCCACAAAGAAAACTAACTAACAACAGATAATCTCTTGTGGCATCTCAACTAACGTATGCCCCATTGTCACACAGTCCCAGTTTTAAAGGTAAATATTTTTCTCTTGTGGCAAGGAAATTTAAATTTTTTGTGCTGTTATCCCCAACAAGCCGGTGGTTTAAAGCGGTTTCTTCGTATTCTTTGCTTTTCGTCTATTATTTGTGTAATGCCGTTCTCAACAGTGCAGCTTGTGTTTATTGTTAAACGCTGCTTTCATGCGCAGTTGCAGGTGAAATTTCCTGATCCTACTGGAAAAAATTAATGGCGTAACTCTCCACAGATTTCCTACATCAGGGTTCGGGACACTTTAAACATAAGTTTCAGCTGCGTAATTATAACCTGAATATTGACTATAATCTAATATGTGTAATAGACGTGACCTTAAACTTTGGTTTGTGCGACTTTTGGGACGCTGTAGTTTAGAACAATTCTGTTTCTACTGTACTGTAAATAAACTCCAGCAGACATGTGAAGTACATGCTTCATAAATTCCTTTGCTCTCTAATCGAGCCACAATTACAAATATAATATTGTAGCTATTTGATCCTTAATTTTGTTCTTGGTATTAATACTAACACCGCAAAAGGGTATGAATTTTAAATCTAAAACTTCTAGACGATGGTGAAGAGTCAATTGAATAAAAATTTACTTGGATATTATCCATCGTCTAGTAATAAAACGTAAAAAACGTAAAACGACGTTTCGGAGATGGGCTAATCCCTATCTCCGGAGATAGGGATTAGCTCTATCTAGTGGGCCCAACTGAGTAGGAACCTGAAGACGGAGGTAGAGCCCCATCTCCGAAACGTCGTTTTACGTTTTATATTTACTAGACGATGGATAATGTATGAATTTTCTTTTCCCTATTTCATTCATTCATTCCGTTCACGGAAATACAAATTTTAAGAGCATAATGTTCCGTAGGGTAAGACGGACGGAGTATGAAGCATGGAAATACATGCATCTATAAATTTCTAATTGGTAATCATGAAGCGTAGATACCACTTGTGATAAATAGGCGTAAATGTAAGAATAATGTTGAAATGTTTTTTGAGGAACTATGTGGGAAGAGTTCAGCTACCTACTTTGTGAATAAGTTAATGAATCTTATGGCTCCATAAAAGCCACACATTTTTGGCCCGGTGAGAGAGTAATAAATATCAAGATGGACCCCGCTGATCGGAGTTATAATAAGTTCGTTTTGGCAGCCTATTTTTATATACCGTGACCTAATACATAATATGTGTATGTGCAGGAGGATTCAACGAGGTATCACGCTCACTCAGTGCCGAAAAGTTTGACCCTGCAGAAGACACGTGGACCGAGATCCATGATATGTGCGTCGCACGCCAGAACTTCAGTGCACATGTGATCGACGACACGATCTTTATCATCGATGGATATCATGGCGATGAGACCATCTTCAGTGTCGAATGTTTCAATTCCAAGAAAAATGAATGGTTTGTTTGTTCAGGACTGTATCGATACAAACTGTGACTTTTGAAAAGCACTAGGAATTGAATCAGTTCCGGTCAAGATAATCGCAATCTTGCGGATGCAGCGTCATGAACGAGTAACGTAGAAATTGACCGACGTTTCAGAGGTTCTTACCGCTTACTCAGGACGTTGAATACAACGCGAAAACACAATGGCTGAGAGGACGGGGGTTGAATGAAAGCATGCAGAGCAATGTTGCGGTGAAGTTGAATCGTTAAAGCAGAGAGCAAATGACTAGGTAATGCTAATCAGACGTCAAATCTAACTGCATTAATAGGAGCTCTTAGAGTAAGTTTCTTTGATCAGGGACACTCTTTTGGGCTGGAAGTTTCTGGCGTTCAGCACATCAGCATCACCATAATCATCGGCATTTATCACAATGTTAGGCCAATCAATAAAGCTTCTTGGGGAAATCAGCCGTGTCCAGTTGACGCGGTTGGTTGCCCGAGAAAATGTTATTGATTGTACTCGGCGCGAAAGTCTCAAATCCTATATCCAGTTTCAGATGTAATGATTCCTATCCATATCATGTTCTCTTTTTGGACGGAAGTTGATTTGGAAATGGCTGACTCTCGGCGTGTTTCACCATGCAGTCTTGTGCCATCTGATGATGGAGTGAGTAAGAAGCTCCAAAACGTTGGTCAGTGTATATCGAATAACATGATGAAACATACAAGAAGACAGCTATTTTCATATTCGTCTGTGTAAGAGCAGGAATTCTCTCAGAAATTCATTTGTTTTTGGTTATTGTCTGTTTTACGTCCAACAGAACACACCCAGAAGTATTTTTGGCAGCACAAAAAAAGAACACTAAGTATTAAAAATATGTTGCTAAAAGAGGGAAATATCATTATGGGCGCATGGCTCAAACAAAACACGCATCTCTCTCCAAAGAATGTGTGTAATTAAAGTATTATTCTGATGAGAGTAATGGCTTAAAGAAATATACAAAACATAGATGGCGCAGAAGACAATTCATTTGACAACGTTGTAAAATAGTCGTAACCTTGATGTAATAAAATGCGGTATGTTATAATAGCTTATTGGCTGGTGTTCTATGTGTATATGAGTAAACGTAAGATCACGTGGGAACTGTTCTAAATATGGTGTGGGAAGTGTGCACTGAAGTCCTATTGGCGGAATTTTTGTTATATTTTTCTGGAAACCAATTATAAGCAAGGACGTTTCGGTGGAAGCCTATTCCTTCAGCTTCAAGCAGTTTTACCTTCTAGCCAAAGATAGAGCCAGTCCATCAGGCATCGATTTTTTTAGTCCAAAACCTTCTTTTTATAACCTCAATAGAAAAAGTATAGGTATTTTTAAAAAAATAATTAATTTCTTTAAATAATTGCACTGACATTCAAATTACATTTCTAACAAATTTGTATTAAGTAAATTATTTTTGATAGAAGACGCATTTCTTCATGAGTTATATCATCTCATGTAGAGCTACATATTATCTGTAACTGTGTCCGCGAAATGTGATAAAAATTATCTTGAGGTAGAAAATACTGATGGATGATGGAAATGGGTTTGTTTTCACTTTTAATATTTTAAATTGCAGGTACCATGCGACAGAAATGAATGTCCGTAGAACAGGTATGTCGATCTGTGTCGTCAAGAACCTACCCAATGCAAAAGATTACGCCCACAAACACAGGGACGAAATAATGGAGAAGATACGTAAAAAATTGTTGGCTTGGGAAACTCAGCGGCAGCAAGCCTTTGATTACAACCTCGACGAACACACAAAATTTAATCACATTCCTCAAGAAAATAATGAAGAAAACTGGGCTTTGATGTAAGAACCAAGAGAGAAATAAAGAGAAATATCGTTTGCAGCAAAGAAGGAAATATTTTTTATTTTCGTTAATTTCTGCCTTGTCGAAGGCAATCTGCCGGGTGAGGAGGCTTGCATGCTCAAATGAGCCTTAGGACTATGCCGGCCGGTGCTTCGGCTCGTGATAGGGTCACCCAAGCCGGTCAGGTCTAAGGAGATGCGCCAGACTAAGAGTGATAACCTGGTCCTCGAGCTTGAGGGTTGGGCGTAAGGCTAACAACCTTTCACCGCAAGAAAAAGTATTGTTACGAAAAAATTAACTAAGCCTCTTTGGCACGACCATGTCAATTGAAAAAGGATATGAGATTAGAACTTGGAACATTAGGGTTCTCTATAGGGCTAGGGCACTGAAATCAGTGAGTAGGGAATTAGAGAATTATAAGTTAGACTTAGTGGCAGTGCAGGAGGTGCGATGGCAGGGGGAGGGCACGATTTTACATTTTTCTATGGAAAGGGGAATGACAATCATCAGCTAGGGACAGGTTTTTGACGTAAATACGTCTATGAGGAAGGGTCATTCGGCAAAAAAGTGTTACGAAAATGTGTTACGAAAAAGGGAAACGAAAAAGTGTAACTTCATTGTTATGTTACCTAGGAAACGTCATCTGTTTACTCAACATTATTGTTACCTACGAAACGTCATCTGTTTACTCGGCGTTATTGTTACCTAGGAAACGTCATCTGTTTACTTAGCATTATTGTTACCTAGGAAACGTTACATTACTTTACATTACATTCAGCTATCACAGACCCATCTTAAGCGTAACTAATTGAAGTTAAGTATTCAAGCATTTTTGTTGCCTAGGAAACGTCATCTGTTTACTCGGCATTGTTGTTGCCTATAAAACATTACATTACATTACGTTACCTTACTTGTGTTGGGCAAGGCCGTGGTCTAGGCAACACGGAGTTTTCCTCCGGGGGCTTCTTCCCCGGTTTCTCCGTGGCATCCCAACAATTACTCCATTCACACACAGAAGAAGGCAATGGCAAACCACTTCTGGATCATCTGCCAAGAACGTATATGAAAGGTCCCAGTCCGAGAAAAGGATGGAAGAATCCTGTTCATATGGACCTGTCGTCACACAGAACACTAAATAAATAAATAAGCTCCATGCACCGCCCGCATTAACCTTCATCGGCTTACATATCGCTCGCAGATTTTATTTATAGGTTCAATTCTGGTGTCCAGATCAAAGGATAAAATATATTATGAAGATCATGATCGTTATTTGTAACAGCCCTGAGACGCGTTATCTTCGAGGTAGACGCAGCGTCCTTCAACATACAGACCAGTTTTCTCCATTACAGGCTCAATACATCTATTGGAGGTGTTTCTCAGAAGGAAGGAACGACGGAAATTTGAGTAAGGTTAGCCGGGATTTTAAATCGGGGTCTTTTAAATTCGATGTAGGAGTGCTAACCACTCGACGGTAAGTTTATTTTGCCCAGTTAAAACTTGAGCGTGGTTGAGTGGACAGGTAGTAATGTGGTCGGCGACCGTGTCATAAAATGCCGGTTTAATAAGCACTGGATACGTCTTTATCTTTAAGAGGATTTCTCACATTGAGATTGGCCGATTTACAGAGAAGCAATGATCAGGGCAAAAGCCACTGAACATACGTGACTGCCAAATATCCTGGGTATCGGATCAGTCATATCCAGTTCATAATTTTTCATACGTCTCTTCCTTCCTCATACCATACTTACTGATTAACATAATTAAATATATGCACTGATGCCACTATATAAGAACACTACCATGAACGTGTAAGTGAACAAAATTATGTTGTCGAGCTAACCATGTCACCTGTGTTGTGGGTACATAAGCTTTGTAGTGTTTCCAATTTCTTTCATTTTTGCTAAGGTGGGGGAGGTGTAATTTTAGAATGAAAAGGTAGTTAATGTTGTTACCGGCTGTGCTGTTGATAATGGCTGATGACGGATTAGTACCTTCTGCTACCGCCATATCGTTTAGTGATTTCACAATAGGTGGCAGGTGGTATTTGCACTGCCAACTGCATGGAACACTGAACGTTTCGTTGGTGAAATGAAAAGTAAGTGTGTTAACGTCAGAAGTGCAGATGGAAAACCACTGTTAAGCACAGAAGAAAGAACAGATACATGGAAAAAATATATCAAAGACCTGTATCAGGGGAAAACATTGTCCAACAGTGTGATTGAGGAAGTGAAGGAGATTGATGTGGAGGAAATAGGGGATCCAGTACTACGATCTGAATTTGACAGAGCTCTGAAAGGCTTAGTCTCAAACAAGGCAGTGGGACGAGATACCTTCAGAATTATTGCAATCTATGGGGAATGAAAGAACTAGAAGGTTATTCAATCTGGAGTCCAAAATCTATGAGTCCGGAGAAATACCATCAGACTTCCAAAAGAGCATTATCTTCGCACGTCCCAAGAAAGTGAGAGCAGACAAATGTGAAAACTACCACACAATTTGCTTGATATCTCATACATCAAAATTACTAACTAGAATAATACAGAAGAATGGAAAGGAAAGTTGAAGAGGCACTAGATGAGGATCAGTTTGGTTTAAAAAAAGTATGGGTACTCGAGAGGGAATTCTGACCTTAGGTTTAATAATAGAAGGACGGATTAAGAAAAATAAAGATACAATTATGGCATTTGTAGACTTGGAGAAGGCTTTTGACAAAGTAAAGTGGAATAAGATGTTTGAAATCTTGAGGAAGGTAGGGCTGAAGTATAAAGATAGATGAGTTATGTACAGTATTTATAAGCATCGGGTGGCCATAATAAAAGTGGAGAATCAAGAAAGACAGCAGGCATTTATTAAAAAGGGAGTAAGACAAGGATGCAGCCTATCACCCCTGCTGTTTAACTTGTATATTGAGGAAGCAATGAAGAAAGTGAAAGAAAAGTTCCGGATAGGAATAAAGGTTCAAGGGGAAAGGATGTTATTGCCCTGTTGGCTGAAAGGAAGGAAGATGTAGAGAAATTATTGAATGGTATGAATAGATTAATCAATGAACAATTTGGCTTAGGATAAACAAAAGCAAAACAAAAGTTATGAGGAGCAGCAGAAATGAGAATAATGATCCATTATATATCAAAATTGGGAAAGACACAGTAGAAGAAGTGAAGGAATTCTGTTATTTAGGTAGCAAAATCACAAAAGATGGACGAAGGAAGGAAGACATTAAAAGCAGATTAGCACAAGCAAAGAGAGACTTCTTCAAAAAGAGAAGTCTACTAGTGTCAAACATTGACCTGGAATTAAGAAAGATTTTTATGAAGTTATATGTTTGGAGAACAGCACTATACGGAAGCAAAACATTGTCAGTGGGAAAACCAGAAAGAAGAAGGATAGAAGCATTTGAAATGTGGTGCTATAGAAGGATGTTAAAAATTATGTGGACTGATAAAGTACGAAATGAACTGCTCTTACACAGGATAGGAGAAGGAAGAAGTCTATTGAAAAATCTTACGAGAAGAAGAGATAGAATGGTGGGACACATTTTGAGGCACACAGGATTGGTTAATTTGGTAATGGAAGGAACAGTTGAAGGAAAGAATTGTAGAGGAGACAAAGATTGGAATATGTGACGCAGATTTTTGATGATGTGGGCTTCAAAAAATATATGCAAATGAAGAGATTGGCGCAAGATAGACGACATCAAACCAGTCGAAGACTGATGACAAACAACCAAACTCTTATACTCTGTGACTATATAATTTTCTTAGTCTTTGGTATTCGATATTCTAGAGTCGATATAATTCAAGATGGCGATAGGTGGCGTGTGATTGTTAATGATAGAACTTGTTTCGTAAAGTAATATTATAAAATGGGGAAAGGCTTCAATAATTATATGTGCAAGAAATTTTTTCATCCTGCGTCTAGAGACAATTTGAAAAGGGTAATGGTTTAAAATGTTAATGTTGTGTTTGGGTATCTTGTATGAGTTGATCATTCAACTTCATAGAAATAAGTCTAAGTACATTACATTATCGTCTTATTCAAATGATAGTATTGCCTTGGCTTTGTTTATAGGTCTGGATAGCAGAGCAGAAGGCAGAGTCTTATAAAAAGAAGCAAGAAGAATTGAGAGTTCAATATGAAAAGGAACAAGATTTGTACACAAATAAGTATGTTCTTCATGCACTTTCCACACTCTGAAAGTTATAGATTGTAATTGCATGGCCTGTGGTAAATGTAGTTCCGATGTCTGAATTCATAGGACACGTGTTGGACATGACAGCAAGCTACCAGAGGGGATATTATCAGTAATGAAGAAAATGAGGGGTTTAATTGAGGAAAAATTAAGGGACGTTATAATTCTCTCCCCATTATTTCCTAATGAGATTATATTTAAATATTTTCTTTTCCTATACATATCTGTTATGCATCCAGTTTAGTTTTTAAAAGAACAGTACCAAAGTAACTGGTAATGGTAACAGCTGTGATGCTTCTCCATGCGATATTTGAAATTTTGTTCATGGTTGATATACATTTGCAACAAGCAAATTTTTGCAGTTTTGGGTTAAGATCAGGATGCCCATAATTCCACGAAGGTGGTCTTGCTTGCCCTTCACAAAACAGTATTTCCTGATATGAGCTAACAAATTTTGCTTTTTGTTTGGACATGTTTTGTCAGTCTTGACACATCCAATATTGAGACTGAAATGGTAAACAATGTAGTGCTTTTGCTCATAATTCAAGGTTAGTTGAAAGACAACATAACCCAATGCCATCTAACATCTCTACTGCTCATTGCTCAAGGTCATTGTACACCCTTTGTTCTAAAAATGCATGTTTGAATTATTTGTGACAACACTCATCGCTTGCCAGTGTACGTGTATGCTAAAGGGTTTTGATGACTGTCTTGCAATAAGCTGAACTGTTATTTTGGACTTTGTCCTTTTATATATATATATTTAGTAAAGACGTAATGTAGACCAGTGGTATTCAACCTGGGGTACGCGAAGTTTTCTTAGGGGGTCTGTGAAATTTAAAAAAATATATATATTATTTTATGTTAAACACTGGATAATCAGTAATGTGATTTATTTAATTTATTTTAGATGTAGATTATATACTATATATAACTTGAATTATATACCAACAAAGTTGGGGGTACAAAGTTGAAGAGAAATTATATTTGGGGGTACGCGAACAAAAAAGGTTGAATACCACTGATGTAGAC